GATTAATATCTGCCAGTGTTTCCAATGGCCTGGGACTGGATCAGGGCCGCAACAAGAAGCAACCTGACCCTGGGCACTGAAGTTCAGTAACTAGGAGTCACTAAGGCTTCCAATGATCTAGAGGGGGCTGAAGATTGTAGGTACTACTTGAAACACACAGTAAGCTCAACGTTTAACTCTTTACTCAAGTTAAGGACTAAGCGTGACGAGTAAAAGGTGACGATTAAAACGTAACGTCTAAGACTGAAGATTAAAGGCCTGAAACAAATGGACGTTATGAGACAGGGCGTGGAGCAATAGAGGTAGGTATGTCCGATATTCGGAATTTAACCGTATAATTAACAGAAAACTATGCTTTTACATAGGAAATAGAGAAACACAGAGAACATTAATAAGAAAAACCACTTACCAAAATTACTTTTGGCCTTTAGGAATAAACAATTGACCACGTTGCTATTTTTCGACTCACAAAAAAAAATCTGCACAAGGCGATTGGGTGCTAAAATAGCGGATTAGCCACCCTAGATCTATGAGCGAAACTTGGCAACTCAGAAATCGGCAAAATGTGCCTGAGGAGTTTTCCCGAACACTTAATCGTGGAAAGTCCTCGACCTGAATGACCTCTGCTTGTCCCTGCAATGTCCTTCAAAAAGGTTCTGTCAAAACTCCAAGGTGGAAGGTACTGGGGAATTTTGATGGTAGTTGGGGCATGGTACTTATTCAAATTAAGTTAGTACCGGTCATTGACTCTATTTGGAGCGCTGTCAATCTAGACAATCTACTCGGATCAGACAATCAGCTGTTCTAGTGTAAATATTGTGATTTTGTTTGTTAATAAATTAATTGTCTATTTATTTTAACCCTACTAACAGGAAATCAATTCCATTAACAAACCTCTAACTTAATGATTCTGGGACAAATGAAAAGTTTGATGAAAAGTTTGGCCACAACTATTGAAAAGACAACAGTGGCTTGACGAGGGTATGCTATTCATTGAGGCGAATACGCTTATTTCCTTTCATTTTAACCCAGGAAAAATCATCCCGTAACAAGGGGAGCAGTGTTCCCAGGAGAACGAGTGTTCTCCCTTTTCCAACGATATGCAAATGATAATATAAGTAACAAAGACGGAACACTCGTTCTCCTGGGAACGCTACTCCCCAGTTTCAAGAATAAGGACCCAGAGGTACCTTCTGAACCACTCTTTAGTTGCTCGAACATCCCTAATAACCAAGACGATTTGGGGAGGACCCTCAATCCTCACTCCACGACAGGTAGATTCTTGGGTCGCTGTGAGACTTGCAAACAGCAAACAATCAAGGAACGCCCTGTAAGTTAGTTGGGTCACATGTGTGTGTTTTCCTGGGTCCTGATATCAGATGGTTACACTCCAGCTGATTGGTACTGAAGCTCTGGGGTCAAAATCACGAGTTCTTCAATCCTAGGGGATTTCAGTTAAAAATGATCGCCTTTAAACCTTCCTTTCTTTGGTGTTGATTTGATTCTTTGTATGCTATAGGCTGTTTCCTGTTCTTTCGCTCAGAAACCGACTTACTTCAGGGTTGAAAACAGGTGGCGCCTTTATTTAGACCCACCCAACTTACCGGAATTTTGTGGGCTAGTCGGAGCTCCCTTATAAGTCAGATTTCTTCTTAAGGCCACCTTCAAGAGTCATATCCTCTCCCTTCACTCTTTGGACATGTAACAAATTGGCGTTGGGCGCCATACTTCTATATTCCTTCGGATATATAAATCTTGTTTTATTGTAAAGGCATGATTTTGTTTCAGCCTAAAAAGTATTAATTATATATGCGTAATAACAAATAACGCACACGGCGGAAATTTTAGTAATAAATATACCGCCTTGGGCATCATGAAAATGCAAATATTATGTAACTTAATTTGTTTTTAATGAAATACATTGTAAATTTAATAAAATAGTTGTTTTACATTGATTATATACTCTCATATATTTTAGAAAAATGTTGCACAAATTCAATTTACCAACCTCTTGAGCTGCAAGTTTGACATACGGAATTTGTAATTTTGCTTCATGTATATTAAAAGGATACAGACTCTAGTTGAAACTCCATAAGGCGGCTTTTAATCAACCACAAAATATTAACGTGCAATTTTGCCTAAGTGCTCTTCAACCAGACAAAATTACTTTTATAGTTTGCTTTTCTCATCAAGATAATGGAATATTTGGCATTGCACTATCCTGCAACAAATTGAATTTATATAGTATCCAATGTCAATGGAGGGAGATAAATCTTGCAGGAATATTTTCTAGGATGTATTGAATAAACGGCTCCGGGCTTCAGCTGTATTTTACTTTGCAACTGCACTATATACTGGATATTTTGGTCAAATATTTATTTTAATTTTTATGTTCTATATAGAGAATAGATTTATTCTGAATTTCTCTGCTTCAATAAATAAAATGAAGAAAAGGACACTTTATGCATTTTTGTTTGCCTGGAAATATTGCTAGTATATTTTCATCTGGAAAAGTATAGTGGCAACGATCTCAATATCCGAAACTTTTCTGCTTAGGCTAGTGTGAAATATGCACAGAAAGAATTTAACTTTATTTTGAAAAAAAAAAAAAAATATTCTAGATATTTGTTTAGAGGGTGGTCAGCACTTCATAAATAGATATACGAATTGAAAAGCTGTATTAAATTACTTTTAAATACAAATAAATACATTTGAATCCAAGGGGCAAACCACCTAAGTTGCTAAAAACTGTGGGGAATTTAGAGGAATTTGTGGAGCATTTGAAGGAGCTTATGGGAAATTGGAAGGATGTATATAGGAATTTTCAGGAACAACTAATTCTAGACTCCATAATAATGAAACAAACAGAAGAGCAACAAAAAAATCTGTTACATAGATTACAAAAAAGTGTTCGACTCTGTACCACATAGTAGCGCTACTTTGGTTTTCCGGTAAGAAAGCGGTCGGTTCGGGGTTTTCGGAAAACTCGGGCGCCACCCTTAGGATTAATGTGGTTAAGGGCCAACGTGCTATAGGTAGCTTTTAAACAGTGGAGACGGAAAACCAGAGGTCCCTACGCATTTCCCAGAAATGAAACACAATTCGACCAAGAAAGTAGTTTTTATTGTTTACCCAATAAATTAATGATACAAAACAGAAATGCCATAAAATTTAATTGAAATACAGGTTTATAAAAGGAAATGCTAAGCGGAGAGTGAGGGGGGCGAACGAAGTGCGTCTGCGTGTCGGGTTAGTTGCGTGAATTTATTGGTTCGAGATAACGATACGGTGACGGTAACGGTAACGGTTAATCGGTAACAGAAAGCTTCAGGAACTAGGATCGGTCCAGCTCCTACACCTTCAGCTTGCAGGATTGGGCCTTTGGGCCTCGTGCGCGAATTCTTAATTCGAGCAGAATGCAGGTAAGAGCGAGAGAGAGAGAAGAGGTGTGAAGAGTAAAGAGCACTACCCTGGTCGTATCACAGCCCGTAGCCCTCTTTACTCTGTTACGGAACGAACGGAGCTGCCCTGTGTGTGTTCCAGCCCACAGTTCCGGTCACTACGTGCACAGAAGAGATAAAGAAGAACTGTGTAGAATAAAGCGCGCCACCCTGATACCAGCCCGTAGCGTGCGTTATTCTGTCACAGAATGAACAGAGCTGCCCTGTGTGTGTTCCAGCCCGCAGTTCCGGTCATTCCGTGCACAGAAGAGAGAAAGATTTGTGTAGAATAAAGCATGCCACCCTGATACCAGCCCGTAGCGTGCGTTATTCTGTCACGGAAGGAACAGAGCTGCCCTGTGTGTGTTCCAGCCCGCAGTTCCGGTCACTCCGTGCACAGAAGAAAGAAATAAGAACTGTGTAGAATAAAGCGCGCCACCCTGATATCAGCCCGTAGCGTGCGTTATTCTGTCACGGAAGGAACAGAGCTGCCCTGTTTGTATTCCAGCCCGCAGTTCCTGTCACTCCGTGCACAGAACAGAGAAAGAAGAACTGTGTAGAATAAAGAGCGCTACCCTGTTGCCAGCCCGTAGCGTCCATTATTTTGTCACGGAAGGAACAGAGCTGCCCTGTGCGTATTCCAGCCCGCAGCTCCGGTCAACCCGTGTACAGAAGAGAGAAACAAGAAATACCTGCATTTTTACCCGTACTTACATTAAACTGTCGGCTCACATCTGGTTTTTGAGCCGCGGCGCGCACATCGGTTTGTACTGGAGTGTGCTTTGCCACAAAATATCAGTAGGAAATTAATTTAATTAACGGAAACGCGGATAAAACAGTAACAATCTAGTAACCTACGTTACAACATTCATGGTTAAACAAGGTACTACAAATTTATAACGGGATACACTCCGTCACATTTATAAACAAGATATATCAGGAACTTACATTGAACCGACTCAACCAATGTCCTTCCCTAGAATTATTAGCAACTGCTATTAATCTCTGTCGTTTTCAAGCCCATAATAAAACAAATATATTTTCCTTAATGCTTCGTTAAAACTTCAACACAAAACGTTTTTCAGCTTATAATTGACTGTCAAAGAGTCTTCAAAATAAATTATTTCTTCGCCTAAACCTAAATAAATATACAATAAAGCGTTTCATCCCCATTGTACCTTTTCAGACGTACATTTTGGGAAATATTTTATTCAAAGCCCCAAAAAGCCAAAGCGCTTAAAACAGTAGCAGATTGGGAGAGATAGAACAGTTTTTCTTTTATTGTATCCTCGAATCAAATGAATTTAGTTCATTGGTAAATTGGTGTATATATTTTTGTTTGCCTCTTACAATGAAACATGTTGCAGCTTGTTTAATTAAACAATTTCATAGGGATTTACAACTCAACCATGCATCTTCTTAATTGCAATTCTAGGCTTAAAACTTTCACGTTATTTGTCGCGCTACTCCACCCAAGTTTCTATTGCACCTGAACTTAGTTTTAATCCTTTATGCAAAGTATGTTTTGTGTATCAGTAACGTTTAATTTATTCATTTCAGGCGGAAATATGGAGCGTTTTCATTGCGATCCTGAGAAAAAGCGTCCGGAACTTGCAGGCATGCACCGACGTCGGCCTTATAGAGCACGTCCTGAAGAGGCTAAGATATGCGGATGCCGTAGTTGCAGGTAAACTTCCTTTGGCTAAGAGATTTTACTGCAGTTTTATTCTAGAGAGAGAATTATACAATTTGATTTGAAATGTAATCCATAAATTCAAAATCACTTGAGGTTACATGAAAAGGATGTAAAATCTGAAAATAATAAATTTCCAAACTCTGTTCGCCAATTTTATCTCTTTACGTCGCCTACTTACCACGTATCGATCCCATGAGGTTTCATTTAGTTTCATATATTCACCCTTATGTTTTGACGTTGATTTGTGCCCTCGAGGCTCAGAGTTTTTTCTTTCTTTAAATTTGAAAATGGAAAGTAACATACGAGCTGACGTTACTTCGACAGCCTTTATATATTATCGGTTGTCAGTTATTCTTGTAAAAAATCGAGGCGGAGAAAATTTACTTTTGGGGCAAAGTTTTTATTTATTCGATAATTAAAAACCTACTAAGCGTTAATGATCTCCGTCGAAGTTAATTAAGGAAAAACTTTTCAATCTAAAGCATAACTAGAAGAAAAAAAAAATGCGGAAGTTAATCAAAAAGTTTTCGCAGCAGCAACAGCAAAACTTTACCAGGTGTGTTTGCTTAATCGACAACTTCTGTTATACTTTGCAAGAATTCCAAAACTATGTATTTGGTTTGTTCGAGCTTGACACAATCACATTACAATATAATTTCGCAGTAAATAATGTCACAAAAGTCTGTGCGAACCATTTATTTCAAGACTTTATTGCCTAATTAAAACCAGAGCCGCAAATTCAGACGTTTCATGTATATTCGCGGTATACTTTGCCCAATCTCCGAGAGAAATATTGTTTTTGGGCGGTGTTCCGAGTAGACTAAATTATATTGTTACAGTTGAAGCTTTATATGTATATTAAAAGTGGAAATATTTTTTTATTTTTTTTTAGTGGGGAAGTTGTCCTAGTTCATCTTCTCCAAATATATTAGTACATCGCATTCTGATATAATATGTTGGGCTTTTTCGGTGTCAATATATAAAAAAAAAACACTCTGTACTTAAATAATAACTTTTTATATAAACTCAGAATTTGTAAGATTATCCACTTTTTGTCAATTCGCCTTTCAACAGGAATTAGTGATGTTTCTTTACCAAACTAGTAATATATTGTAACAAGTTATTCAAGTACAAATAAGTAACTTGTTGCGAAACTTATGGGTGAACCTGTTATTCTCATTAGCTTAAAAACTATATGTTTCAGGTAAATATCTTACTTAAACAGTTCAACAGTATATTGGTGAGTAGCAGGCAGGAAGTCCACCCATAAATTCCGAACAATCCACTTATTTGTACTTGAACAATAACTTACTATATAAATTCAAAATTTGCAAGATTAAAATTATTCACTTTTTTTCAATTCGCCTTTCAACAGGAATTAGTAATGTTACTTTACCAAACTAGTAATATAATGTGACAAGTTATTCAAGTTCAAATGAGTGAATTGTTGCGGAACTTATGGGCAGTATTGCCAGATCTCACGATTTTTGTCAGAATTTCAAGATCTCACGAATTCTCTCTGCTGTAATACGAATCAATAATCAAATTTAATCTAATCGGAAATAATCGAAAATCTACCATACAATATTTAGTTATGTTACGCCGCTCCTGGTACATGCGCACCCAAGAACACTTAACCTAATAGCACGGCATATACAAAAACAATTTTGAATTTTAAGCCATTGACCGATCGGTCATCTCGACACATAAACCATTAATTAAGCGTCATTTGTCAACCAATTGGTCTCAACTGACGTTAAATGCATTACTTATCTGTCAAAATGACCGACCGGTCAATCGCTTAAAATTGGCTAATATCAGCAGGCTAACTCTAACTCGAGCTTTGTATCCCAAGATGGCGGCGTGCGCAGATGAGATGGGATCTCATTTCTCATTGTTCTGCCATTTAAATATAGGCTGTATCCTCGAATGGCGGCTTGCACAGAAGAGATGCGCGTGAGAGTTAATCTGCTGTTTGTTTTTCTAATAGGACTGCTTATTGAGCTGTGAGTGTCTGCGAAGTCCACGAGACCCCATTATTTGTGACGTCAGCTGCAGACCTCAACACTTGGCAGAAAATGCATTATCCGAGTCCAAAAAACAAATTCATAAACGTGGGAGTCGCCTTTTCTTAATTTAATATTTCCAAAAAAAATGGTTTGGCTCAGTTTCAATTTCATCACCCTCGCAGCAGTGGTTGAAAATGTTCTCTATATACATCCACCATCAGATGTCCGAAATATCAATGCTCAGCTGAAAACTGATAGCTATTCCTACGATTTATGGATTCCGCTTTACTACCGCCTCATAGACAACGATCGTACACGTACTTTCCAAACAGTACTTCCAGAGTCGCGGAATAGATTCTACCAGTATAAATTGCAAGTGGAATTCCTGAACAACAGCATTTTAGAAAGCAGGGAATGGACAACTATTGGAATTGGTCCGCAGCAACAAACCATCTCTAAAATCCTCTGTAGAAACGAAACTTTAAACTCCACTTCAACCGATTCGAGACCTCATGCATCTATTTACTTAATCTATACCTGTTTAATAACCATAGCTGTAGTTTTTGGTATTTTATTGTCTAGAATGTTCTATCTAATTATAGGAAAAAGCAAATGTGATTATTTTAAGGTTTAATGAATAAAATTTTACCGAAAATTTCTTGTTTCATTGAACTTCATGGCCAATTGCATCAAATAACACACAAACGGGGGCACCTGAGCCTGGGAACTTTTTCGATACCGTGGGAAAATCTCTAGATCGGCAACGCCTCTGATCTGAAATTCCGGAGGTTTGACCCGGGCCAACCTCAAATTTTTGAGGGTTTTCCCGGAATTTGACCGCAGCGAGAAACCATCTCCAAAACGCCTCGGACACCTACAGCAGGTACGGATAATTACAAAAGGCCCCGATTGGGACACCTACAGCAGGTACCGATAATTACAAAAGCCCCCGATTCCTAGGGGTATTAGAGGTATCCGAACCTAGATGGCGCACCATACGGCAGGTACCGATAATTACAAAAGCCCCCGGGGCTATTATAGGCAACTGAACCTATAGATGGCGCACCGGACACGTGCAGCAGGTACGGATAGATGGCGCGTGCAGGCGTGCTGGTAGCTCCTCCGGAGGACGGAGGTTGCAGAACCCCCATATTATACCTACTCACAAGCTTAGCCTGAATCGCAAGCAATTCATCGAGGTCTGCGGGTGAAATTACCACTATCAGTTGCTGATAGTGGTGACGTCACTCGCAGACCAGCTGCCGACTCGAGAATTGGCGGACGTAGGCTTTTTTAGGATAAGCAATCCTGCCGATAATGAAAACGAGGTTAAGTTCTCAGAAACACCTGCTAAAAAACGGAAAAAACAAGGATACAATATTTAATATTAAAATTTCTATTTCTTATGGATGTAAAATCATGTCTACTTTATCAAAAATCTATAGAAGAACATTGTACATTATTTTCTTACAAGCAATTTTAAGTCTCACGATTTTTCTTCCTCACGAATTTTTTTTAGTTCCTCTGGCAACACTGCTTATGGGTGGACCTCTAGCCATCTATTCATTAATATGTTGTTTAATTACGATACTAACCTGACTCACTCAAATGTGAGTTATTCTCATTAGTTTAAAAACTACATGTTTCAGGTGAATGTCTTATTTGAACAATTCAGCATTATATTGGTGAGTAGATGGCTGCGGAACTTGCTGCGCTCGTCCCGCAGAGGTCCACCCATAAGTTCTGCAACAATCCACTTACTTCTAATTGAAAAATAACTTATTATATAAAGTCAGAACTTGTAAGATTATCCACTTTTTGTCAATTCGCCTTTCAACAGGAATTAGTAATGTTACTTTACCAAACTAGTAATATATTGTAACAAGTTATTCAAGTACAAACGAGTGGATTGTTGTGGAACTTGAGGGTGGACTCAGCCATCTATTCACCAATATATTGTTCAAGTACAATACTAACCTGATTCACTCAGTTATGAATTTTTCTCATTAGTTCAAAAACTACACGTTTCAGGTGAGTGCTTTTTTTGAACAGTTCAACAGTATATTGGTGAGTAGATGGCTGCGGAACTCGCTGCGCTCGTCCCGCAGAGGTTCACCCATAAGTTCCGCAATAATCCACTAATTTCTACAGGGTGTTTTTTTTATAAGAAACAAAATTTGAATGTCAGAAATGTGAAATTTTGCATGCTTCCAGCATTTTTCAAATGGGATGCCCTATATTTCATTTTATATTCTTGAAGAGCACAATGCCCCGATTCCAAAAAATATAAACTTTGCCTATATTTGATTGAACAGTTTTTCGGCTCCAAAAATTGTAAAAATACTATCCTATTACTGATTTTTTGAACCATTCTACCTGTACAGGTGAAAACTGCAGGTAAAATTTGAGGTAGGTACTTGCTTTTTCTGATAGTATTTTTAAAATTTTTAGAACCAAATATGTTAGAGCCGGCTCAACCAAATATACACAAAGTATATAGTTTTGGAATCGGGAAATTGTACTCTTCAAGAATATGGAACCAAATATAGGGCATCCCATAGGTAGTGCATATTTAAAAGGAATATCTCATGCTCGATCTCATGTGTCTTAATCTTAATAAACTATTTCTCATAAGTAATATTGGTGTTTGATTTTCTAATGCAAGTTTTCATAGTCTAATACACAGTCTAATGATTTGAAAAAACGTAGGTAAAATAATAAATTAAGTATACATTAATGGTTTACCCCTTTAACAAGGCAACTTATTTGTCTACTGATTTCTACTAATATTTAGACTGGTAATCTACTAACAAAACAAAATATGACCTGGCAACACTGAGTGAAACCCTAACTGAAGATGTCTCTGGTTCGGATGAACATCCTAGTGGAATCATGGAAATATCCATTATTTTAGATCCATATTATGCACCCAATGTAGTACATTACAGTGTAGACACATAATGGTATCTAAGACTCAACAACTATTTATACTTACAACAAAATCGGTGTGGGTGTGAACATCCATGAAAATAAGAGTTGCTAACTTTTGGAAGAGTTGCAAATACAGATGTTACCAATTTTTCAGTGGAAACTACTAATGCGAAGCTTGACAATTAGACATTATTTTCGTAATAAAATCACCTGGTAATCGGATAATTGTAGGAAATCATCGAGGAAATCAGGCAATCAATTGGAAATGGTATAGGAATGCAGGAAGCAAAAAAAATGGGAATTACCTGGTAATCATACAAAAATATCTGAAAATCATTGGCAATCAGTCGCAATTCTTGGGATGATTGCCTAATATGGAGATCATTGTACATTTGTAAGCATAGTGTATCATAATAATCACTAATAATCAAAATTGTCTGTTTCCACATGTCTACCCAGCAAGCCTATATTCAATTAATCCTACTATATTTATTCAAGCTAGTATCAAAAATATCTTAGTAAACAGATATCCTTAAGCACACAGCGTACACTGTGAATGAATAGAGATAAGTATTTCAACTCTAGCAAATCTGCAATACTCAGACACAAAATGAAAATAACTTTCATAACAAAGAAAACTATTACAATGAGCATCAATATTCCCAAGATTGTGTAAAACTTCAAGGAAGCCCAGGCGAAACTTTTAAATTGGATTTGCACATGCAGTATCCCATAGAAGTTTTAACGATATAATAGTATCAACCCACAACGGTGAAAAGTTTCGACTGACTCTACAATCCATTAAATGGAATTGGACATAATTCAAAATAAATATTGTTCGGGAATACCAAATGGCCAAGTGGCCTATTTCTACCCGCTGGACGAGTGTTGTTTCAGTTGTGGTTCCTGCTTTCTAAGCATATTGGTCTGGTAGCCAATGCATTACCCCCCGAATGTGGAGCTCAAGCAGTTATTCTAGAGCCTTCAACAAAAATGACATGAGTTGTAATAATGGATATAGGTTTATTCAAATTTATGTACACAGTAGACTGTGGCATCACCTATAATAAATATAGAGTTTCAGTTATCCTGTTGACATAGAGATAATAATAATTGAGTTAGATCTTGTTGTGACAAGTTTTATAATTTAATAAAGAACTTGATACCTACAATATTGAGTATAACAATATTATCACATGGCGCAGTCGGTGAAGAACCATTGATAATTATTCCTGAAAAGTAAAATGAACGGAAGGTTACCAGAACCAATGAAAACTGACTGAAACCTGAATGAAAATTTTAAGGAGTTTTATCAAAATTTTGAGACCTACTTACCTAATTGCAACTGAAAAGGATTCAAATAAGGTAAAAATTGCATTGTTTTTAAGAATGCAGATAAAGATAAATTTGACAGTTTTATAACTGAATTCAAAAATTACTAAACGCTGAATACAAAGCGTTCATAGAAATTACAGATAAAACCAACATCCAATGACCGGTAACTATTTTGACATTTGGTTAACCAGATTTCAGGAAATCGAGGTCCAAAAGTAACCACTTTTCCAGGAAGCAGAGTAATTTGATTACTTTCGGACCGCGAAACCACAACCCTGGTTTTATTCGGACCACAGCCTACTTTTATTGAGCTTTGACATTAACAAAAACTGTCTGAACCAAGTTTTTCAGAAGAGACTTTTTGTTGTTAAGCCTGACTCACACTAGGCAAATTTAAAAATATATATTGCCTGTACCAGTTTTATGTTTGGCCAAGTGTACATGATAAGAACCTAAGTTTCAAGATTGATACAGGCTTTGGAATTTGTTTTTGAGGATTTTGTAAGGATAATGGGTGTCACAAATTAAAAAAATTTGGCTTCAAGTAGAAGCATATGGTGGAACAAAGTTGAAATCAGTCGGAAAAATTAAGTTGCCATGCATAAGGTCAGAAAAATTATTTAATTTAAGCTGGGTTCGGCTATTCAGCAAGGAGTTGGAGTGAAATAAAAACAGATTTAAATATGTCATGTGATCTAGGAGTGATTAGAGTGAAAAATTAATACACGAACGGTCGGAGCAAAACTGTCAAACTGCTGATTTGTTTTGTTTCAAAACAATATGACTTTACAACGTTTCCAGTTTCCATTATAGTCGAACGCTAATGGTGTCGCCCCTAATACACCAAAAAGTAATACCCGAACGGCTGGAGTGCGAATGGAGTCACTCGGAGTGCCAGGAATAAGCAAGCCGAACCCACCTTTAGAATTTATAATTATAGATTCAGATGTCACATCAATAATTGGCCTGTCAACATGCTATGGGCATTTTTTAGCGACCTCCCGTTAGTTCCCGTGTTACAAGCGATTACAGGAAATCAATAACCGATCCGTTTTTGTGTGAAAACGGTAATAGGGGAAGGTGTTTTGTTGTCATAAAGTGACGTCATCATTCTATAACACGGTTATTATTTTTGATACCCAAGTCAAGAGTTGAGTAACTGAAAAATTCTAACCTTAGATTTATTTGTGATTGTTTTAATGTGTAAAAGTGAGTTTTTTTCTGAGGTGTTTTTGTTATGGATTAGAGGATATCAAAAAATGGCACCATTAATATTTGTCAAACGTTTTTTCAGGATAGAGAGAAAATAATTTGTAAAAATAGGGATCTTTTTGAGGGTATAGGTACTTTTCAGGATATTTGTAAAATAGAGTTAATAGAAAAAACACTATACCTGTAGCTAGACCTGTACGGGTACCATAACTTATAGAAGATAGAGATGGGTACCATTACTTATAAAAGATAGGTTGAAGCAAGCATTAGATAGATTATAAGCAGATTAGATGAGGCAAGTGAGTGGGTAAATAATTTATTAATTATCGAAAAACCTGATAATTCCTTAAGATTGTGTTTAGATCCTCAAGACTTGAATAAGTGCATTAAAAGGCATTTTTTTGAAATCCCTAGTCTGGAAGAAATTAGTTCTAGATTAGCAGGTGAGAAATATTTTTTTGTATTAGATTTCAAGGATGGGTTTTATCAAATAAAATTGGATGAACCTCCTAGTAATTTAACAACATTTGCTATTCCGTTTGGTTGTTACAAGTTTCGCAGGTTACCATTTGGCTTGAATTTGGCTCCTGAATATTTCCAAAAAATTAATTATAAAAACTTTGGGGATCTTGAAAATGTCATAATATATTTTGATAGCGAGTGATACAGTGGAACAGCATGACAAGACCTTGGAAAAGTATTTGTGCGAATTAGAGAGAAAGGTGTGAAATTTATTAAACAAGAATTTGAATTTATGTTAGAAGAAGTAAAGTATGTGGGACATATTTCTAGTTAAAATGGTATGATAATTGATAATGCGGAGATTAAGGATATTAAAAACCTTAAAGCTCCTTCTAATAAAAAAAAGTGTCAAAAGTTATTGGGGTCAGTAAATTATGTTAGAAAATTTCTTCCAAAATTAACTGAAATTTCTAATCCTCTTTGTCAATTGCTTAAAATGTTGTTTTTAATGGTTGGAAGTTCATGATAGAGCACTTCAGCATATTAAACAAGAATTAGCAAAAAATATCACATTAAGTATCATGGCTCTGGAGTCTAATAAAAAGATCGGGTCTAGAGAACGAACTCTAAAGACAGATAGAGATACCACAATAAATCTGACAAGGTTGCAGTGGCCATCTCCATTCAAACAGATCTACAAATCTAAATCTACCTCGTCAGCGTAGAGCTCTCATGATTACCTTGAAGGAAGTGTTGTCAAATGCTCAACATAACTGCTCTATTTCCCATTTCCCAACGTACTTTCTACCTAGTTTTTAGAGAGCCAATCGTTCCTGGAGTGTCCTTGAAAAGGATTTTATAGAGCCTGGCACATTGAGTAGTCTGTTCGACCTCCTCACAGTGTTTTCTCCACGATTCCTTCTTGAATGCTCTCAGGCATTTATTATATTCAGTCAGAGTTTTACGGTACTGGCTCCACTCTCCTGTTCGATTTGCTTTGTTGAAAAGTTTCCCTGTTTTCTTCTTTTTTTTTCTGAGGATGTTATTCCACTAGTTGGAATTACTGTAGGCGGATGTAACAGCGGTTTGCAGTTGTTCCGTAGTCCTATGCTGCTAGGAAATATACTTAATCTATTTTTTTTATATTCCAGATCTACTAATAGAAATGCTCGGAGTCTTGGCAAGCTACAGCATCACCGTAAAAGAACTGAAACTATTATTCGGCGCCATGAAGGCGTCGAACAGCAAATGGGTGAGTGGAAAATTTCGTTTCGCCTTTGTAATAATTCATTATCGAGCGTCCCATGATAATTTAATTAGAGCGCATATATCTACCCTGCCCCTAGTGCCCGAAAGGCCGGCTCGTCCAATAAACAGTATATTATAACCGTAATAAACCCGCTTTATTGGTCAATTTTACCGTTGCTGAGGCCGTAGCAATTTGTAACCAACACATTGTTGCGGTACCGCGATAATATTAAAGTTATACGCGCATATTTCGAACTACTAAATTAACTTCTCATTCGGGATGTATATCCCAAAGGACCTTGTTGCGGTTGACAATTCTCTCCTGTTTGTTATTCCCATTGTACCTGTTAATCAATCATGTCCGCCACACCGCAATGACGTGTCCGGACCATTATCGGATTTGTTCTCACCACATTGTTGAGATTTAATTTTTTTCAAACAAAGAATATAGAAAATGGATATCGTATCCAGTTGTGTTATATTTTTTGATATGGAATAATAGAGGATTTGGAAAGTATAGGTTAGTCATTAGATGTAATGCTCCCCGCTATATGACAATTGTATTCTTTATATTTAGCGCCAGAAGTAACATTGTCTCCTTCAAAACTTCTTATTTTCTAGAATTCTTTGCACAGAGACAGATATCAAATTTAATGAAAGCCCCCCCGCTTATGAAATAGAGTTTCTCTGAGAAAATATAAGACTCTGCAACAAAATTATTATCTCAAGCCTGTTTTATATTCTTTTACCGTTTTATAAAGAAAAATCCCTTTTTGTCGCTGGAATTTTAAACAATACATAGTCGCAAATATACAATAGAGACTTGAAGGGTGGATATTGCATTAATAAATTGACAAATGAATTGGGTCAAACGGAAGTAGCACAACTCCGAAACGGAATTTACGAAATTTATAGGAAACGTTGGCGTTCGAGAGCATGTTTGATTACGCGACGAAATTGAGTTAGGAGCGAGAGCCGAGGGTCCACGATCATTCCACTTAGAGGCACGAAGGGCGCTTCAAATATACACCCTCTACGAAATTTGGTAAAGGTAATTTGCTACTGTGGTTTAACAGGTGGAGGAAGAGGACGCGAAAATGTTATTTATTGGGTTTTTGTGAAGCAGTCACGTTTCAACTTGATATTTTCAAAATTGATTTGATGTTATCAATATTTAACGGATAATTTACTACTCATTTATTTACCGAAAATAAAAATACCTACAGACCCTATATAATCTTGTGTTAAACTGCATGATCCTTTTCAAAAAGCTATCGAGTTGAAACTAATGCCAGTTTAATTGGAAATTTATTTAATCGGTTTTAATCCCATGTTCAAAATGTCTATTTTTGAAAAATCAATCCTTCATTTAGCTAGTTAGTTGGTTATTGCATAAATCTACCCTCTAAATACCTCATAACATACGTTCGAATACCCTTTTGCCTTAAAATGAAATATCAGAAAACCTCTTCAGCAGCTGCTACGTGGGTTGTCGGCAAAATAAACAGTCCAAAAACCGTAGCGAAAGGGGGAGAACTGTAATCAAATCAATTCCGAAATTCGAAAGAAGATACCGCAATTTCCTTTTTCCGGTTCGAGTGGCGAATTCATCGGAATGACGTATTGCTAACCCCTTATTTGTGGTCATAAAATTGTTAAAGATTTCAGGAATTTTATGCTATATAAATATATTGTAAGTAAGCTTAACCCTTATGTTAAGAAACCCAAAATCCACTAACAAACTATATATAATTAATTAATGCACGAACCAATTATCCCAAGACCAAAGTTGTCAATTTAGTTTCAGTGAATGCCAAAGGACTACGTTGAACCCTTTTCATACCCTCTGTCAATTCCAATAAACTTAGAAGCCGGCCCGAAGTCATTCCTTGATCATTCCCTTCACGATTTATTTAATTGACCCAATATTCTATTGTGAATTGTCCAGATGTATCGAATGAGATATTGTTGATATTATATTCTCTAACTTTAGACATTAGTTAAATATAATGGACTTGTGTAATCTTAATAATCAAAGTAGAATATTACTGTCCTTATCCGACTATTTCTTTTCAATGTAAAATAATATTGTGATACACATGTTCAGGCAAAGTTTGCAAAAAATCTGGTAATTCTGATTTTTTGATATGTTGTTAGCATGCATATGAGCTGTACCAAGTTTGCAGCTCCGAAAAACTTGTGCTCGCTGCGTGGTAGGCCAAAAAACACGATATTTTTGGACTTTTCCTGGTTTGTTGGGTTATAAGTCGTAAATAATGGATGCTACGTGAAAAAATTATCTCAGCTTTTTTCAATCCAATAAAATTTCCTTCATACAGAGACTAAGTGTAGTTTTATATTACCAATAGGTTTTGAGACTTCAAAAATTTGTTTTTTTTTTTTCGAGCAAATGTTTGTTAAGTTGTAAGGAAGAGTAGAAGGAATGATAACAACGTTATTCTAGTATTTACTTTATATTTATACAATGCAAAAAAAATCCTAATTTAATGTTTTTCTCGAGGTATTTCTGTTTATTGGAAATTCAAAATTTGAACCGTTTGGATGATCCCGGCAGTGGCGGCTCGTCAGAGGAGGCAGAAGAGGCTAAACCTCCCCCAAAAAATTGAAAATTCAATCTCAATTTTTTATTCCTGATTTCTAATTTAAATAATAATTCACAAACTACTCAACAGAATTCCAATTTTCGATATTTTAATGTAATTTAGATAAATCTGACATTATTTCAATCAATCCCGCGCCTCCACGACAAAAATCTGTGAATCTGGGATACTCAGTAATACCGGCCCGAAGGGCCGGAGTTATATGCGAGCCCGAAGGGCCGGAGTTATATGCGAGCCCGAAGGGCCGGAGTTATATGCGAGCCCGAAGGGCCGGAGTTATATGCGAGCCCGAAGGGCCGGAGTTATATGCGAGCCCGAAGGGCCGGAGTAATATGAGCCCGAAAGGCTAAAGTTATACGCGAGCCCGAAGGGCCGGAGTTAAAGGCGAGCCCGAAGGGCCGGAGTTATACGCGAGCCCGAAGGGCCAGAGTTATACGGAGCTCAGTCTATAATTCTATTGGTCAGCGGATAATTTAGAGCCAATTAAAAACCGGGAGCATTTAAAATGCGATTTTTAGCGTCCGATCAAAGAGCCGGGAATATTCAAAAACTTTAGTTTTATCAAATTGATTTTGGAATGTTGGTTTTCTATGGGGTTTTCTTAAGATTTTTACTTTTTTCAGAAAACGGTGGTTTTTGCAAACATATACTACTTTATCGTTGTCTTTGTCTTACTCACTATAATCAATAAGTAAACCTTATAATGTCATTTTCTTGATTTATTAATTTCATTATTAATTAATTATTAAATTGAATTTTAAACAAAAAACTCTTTTAAAATGTTATTTTTGTTTTCCGAGATGTGATGTGGCAACGTTGCTTTTAGTTGGCCATTTTGAAGTGACGCCTTGTGATTTTTTGCCAGTTTTTTCTCGAATTTTCGATTTTTCCGGAGTTTTTCAATGGAAAAAAGCAATTTACCATACGAGGTTTTGAATTTTCTTCATTTTTCACCAAAAATGTCCAGTGTTTTAATGGGGTAAGTGAGAAAAATTTTAGTTTTATCAAGTAGGTTTTGGAATGTCATTTTCGTTGTTTTTTTTTTTGGAATTTTTATTTAAGGTTTTTGGGGTCCGGGAATCGTTTTCTAAAACTTTTTTTCTCGAATCTCGCAAAATAAAAAAAAAACTTTTTTGACGTTGACAGCTGTCAAATTTTTTTGACACAAATCGATAGTTGGCGTCGTGAAACTGCCTTGTACCGGGGTTTGATTTTCGTAGCTTTTATAGTAGAGCGGGGAAACAGTCGAACATGTGTCAAATTTGACAGGTGACATCTGTCAATATTGCCAAAGTGTCGTGCGACAAAAGTTTTATCCGAACGAACCCGTTCATTGTTAACTGATTTTAATACTCCGGCCCTTCGGGCCGTAATCTTTGAAACATAAAAACGTCATTTTGTATCGATTGTCAAAAAAACCCAAGGTTTGAAATTTGAATTTTTTGTTTTTTGTATCAGGAGCAGTGTTGCCATATGTTTTTTTTTTCAAATCTCGAGCTCGAAGGGTCGAGATTATAGGTTATTTTAAAGCCAATCAAGAGCCGGGAATATTCAAAATTTAAAGCCAATCAAGAGCCGGGAATAATCAAAATTCGAATCCCCGAACCAATCAGGAGCCGGGTAAATTCAAAAATTCGAATTCCAAACCCGACGGGAAATTGTCGTTTTCAATTAAAAGAGATGGACGATAAAGTATGAAAACATTCAGATTCCCGCCAACATTTGCTTGCTCGTCAATGTCAAGTGTATAGGGTGTTTAGCAATCCCCTGGTTTTTATTCTAATCGGTGACTCCACCGATGATTTAGGTATCTTTGTTCAGTGAATGGAAAATGACAATGACCGACATAGAATGGTGAATTTTGAAATTGGAAAGAAAATGTGGTAAGCAAACAGCTTCCACAAACTAAACTTGAACGTGGATATCTTTGTATACTTGATGGGCGGTGGATTTCCCTTACTTTTGCGAGTATCAGTTCTAATTTTGTGTATCCAAATTTTGACAAATGTAGGATTTGATAAAAACTTATGGAAAGACACGTCCGCCGGTGAATAGGAATTATTTTCACGAAAAGGCACACTACACACAATCACCATTATTAGGAAAAAACCTTGAAAAAACCAAGGAAATAATAGTTTCCAGTCTCACACGTATTAAAACTCTTGTCAACAAACCACTGTCAATAGCTGTCAATCATTGTTTTCATACTCTTTTGGCGTCTGACAGTCTGACGCCAGAGAGAGAGGCTTCTAAATTGAAAAGGTCAATTGAATTTTTTGTACCAACTGTTTTTTGGAAAAAACAAAAGAATTTTTTTTTCAGATTGACAGCTGTCAAAATTTTAAAAAACCTACATGGGAATATAGATTTAGCCGCGGCGAAT